CACAGAATTGTTACTGAGGGACACAGAATTGTTACTCAGGGACACAGAATTGTTACTCAGGGACACAGAATTGTTACTCAGGGGACACAGAAAAATTGTTACTCAGGGACAGACACAGAAATTGTTACTGAGGGACACAGAATTGTTACTGAGGGACACAGAATTGTTACTCAGGGACACAGAATTGTTACTCAGGGACACAGAATTGTTACTCAGGGACAAGGACACAGAATTGTTACTGAGGAACACAGAATTGTTACTCAGGGACACACAGAATTGTTACTGAGGGACACAGAATTGTTACTCAGGGACACAGAATTGTTACTCAGGGACACATCACAGAATTGTTACTCAGGGACAGACACAGAATTGTTACTCAGGGACACAGAATTGTTACTCAGGGACACAGAATTGTTACTGAGGGACACAGAATTGTTACTCAGGGACACAGAATTGTTACTCAGGGACACAGAATTGTTACTCAGGGACAGACACAGAATTGTTACTGAGGGACACAGAATTGTTATGAGGGACACAGAATTGTTACTCAGAGGGACACAGAATTGTTACTCAGGGACACAGAATTGTTACTCAGGGACAGACACAGAATTGTTACTCAGGGACACAGAATTGTTACTGAGGGACACAGAATTGTTACTCAGGGACACAGAATTGTTACTCAGGGACACAGAATTGTTACTCAGGGGACACAGAATTGTTACTGAGGGACACAGAATTGTTACTGAGGGACACAGAATTGTTACTCAGGGACACAGAATTGTTACTCAGGGACACAGAATTGTTACTCAGGGACACAGAATTGTTACTCAGGGACACAGAATTGTTACTCAGGGACACAGAATTGTTACTCAGGGACACACAGAATTGTTACTCAGGGACACAGAATTGTTACTCAGGGACACAGAATTGTTACTCAGGGACAGACACAGAATTGTTACTCAGGGACACAGAATTGTTACTCAGGGACACAGAATTGTTACTCAGGGACACAGAATTGTTACTCAGGGACAGACACAGAATTGTCACAGAATTGTTACTCAGGGACACAGAATTGTTACTCAGGGACACACAGAATTGTTACTCAGGGACACAGAATTGTTACTCAGGGACACAGAATTGTTACTCAGGGACACAGAATTGTTACTGAGGGACACAGAATTGTTACTCAGGGACACAGAATTGTTACTGAGGGACACAGAATTGTTACTGAGGGACACAGAATTGTTACTCAGGGACACAGAATTGTTACTCAGGGACACAGAATCGTTGAATTAAAGAGTATGTCAGACAACACGCAGAGGAGTGGCAGAGGAGGCAATGTTTCAGGAGCGAGCAGACGTGGCAGCAGAGGAAGGGGTCGAGGCAGCACTAGTCGCAGCCAGAGGCCAGTGCTCCCGGTGTCATCCAGCGGTCGTGTCTCCACCGACAACCCTGCCGTCATCGATTGGTTGGCTCGGTCGTCTTCCTCTTCCCAGGTCACCTCTGACACCTACAGCCAACGGTCGGTGGGTACGTCAGACACAACCGTTAGTTGGCATGGCCCGGGAGCAAGCCCACTGAAATCACGTGTCCTCTACCTGCCCCTGTCCTTTGGTGTTCCCTCACCAAGCGAAGTATCGCATGCTGTGGGCTCAGCCCCACTGTACAGTGAGGAAGAGCTAACAGAGGGCGGTCAGGAACGGGGGGAGACATCCGCCTCTTCAGCAGCCAGGCGAAGAAGTACTGGCGAGGAGAGTGGCTCGGTAGCCGGTCTAGAGACAGGTCTGTCTCCTGACCCACACGCAGCCGAGGGGGCTAGTAGTGAGGCGGAGACCCTAATTGATGATGATGAGGCTGATCGCACTTGGCAGCCTCGTCGTCATCAGGCTATTGCTTCCGCATCATCAGGAGAAGAGGGTGCCAGCTTGGCAGCGAGCAAAACAGTCGGTGGGTTGCCCAGGAGGCAGCAGGGTCGCAGCAGTGTCAGTGGAGGCAAACGGCCACGGAGAGTAGAGCACCAGCTCCACTGCAGCCTACCACCACGGCCAGTAGTGGTGCCGGTGTGCACGGAGGAAGTAGCAGTCAGCCAGTGAGGAGTAGCGGGGGCAAAGTTTCCTACTCGGCGGGGTGTGGCAATTTTTTTCAAGTCAAGCCGCCCGAGGAAGTAAACGTAGCCGTATGTCGACTATGTGGCCAGAAAGTCAAGCGTGGCCAGGGGGCCCATGTTGGGACTACAGCGTTGCGTCAGCATATGCAGCGTCGCCATTCGGTGGCCTGGGAAAACCGTGATAAAGATACGGCGGTTCTGCCTGCCCCAGCCCCCGCTCCATCACCCGCTCCGTTACTTGCTCCGTCACCCGACGTCAATCGCCCTCTATCAGCCAGTCAAGGCTCCAACACCTCTGCTGAGGGGAGTTGTCGCTCGTTGGCATCTTCCGCTCGTTCAGATGCTCCTTCTCCTGCTACTCCTCTTCACGGATTCCGTCAGCAGTCTTTCTTGGAATCCGTTTCCAAGAGACAACAGTTTGCGAGCACGCACCCGACGGTGCAAAAGCTGAACGTCCTCCTGTCCAAGTTGCTGGTGCTGCAGTCCCTCCCTTTCCAAGTGGTGGACTCAGCACCTTTCCGAGAAATGATGGCTTGTGCCGCGCCGCGGGTGGAGAGTGCCAAGCCGGCATTTCTTCGCCAAAAAGGCAGTGCCAGCCCTGCATTCACATGTAGAAGAGATGGTGGGCCAGTCTTTGAGCATGTCGGTCTCTGCCAAAGTGCACGGCAGCGCCGACGTGTGGAGCTGTAACTACGGTCAGGGACAGTACATGTCATTTACGGCCCACTGGGTGAACGTGGTGCCGGCACAGCCGCACCAGCAACTTGGACAGGTCACGCCGCTTTTGCCTCCACGTTTGCACGTCCTTGGTCCAGAAAAGATGTCCGCCTCTACCACCTCTTCTTCCGCCGTGTCCTCAGCCGCCACCCCCGTGCCAAGTCCCATTACCCGACCGGCATATCACATGTGCAGGGCGCAACGGTGTCACGCTGTGCTGCACCTGGTATGCCTTGGCGAACGTAGTCACACAGGGGAGGAACTTCTGAGTGTAATGAACAGAGAAATCGACAGATGGCTGTCTCCGCGCAAACTGAAAATCGGAACCATGTTGACCGACAACGGAAAGAACATGGTGTCTGCTCTGCGTCAAGGAAGGTTGTGCCATGCGCCATGCATGGCTCACGTGTTCAATCTGGTTGTCAAGCGGTTCCTAAAATCCACCATCCCACTGCAAGACATCCTTAAAATGTCACGTAAACTTTGCATGCATTTCAGCCATTCCTACACCGCAAAGCACACCCTCCTTGAGCTGCAGCGGCAGAACGGAATTCCACAGCATCGCCTGATCTGCGACGTTGCAACAAGGTGGAATTCAACCCTACATATGTTAGACCGCCTTTACGAACACAGCGAAAGGCCATCACCGATTTCCTGATGTTACAAGCGGATAAAGGTACTCCCCTGTGTAACTTAGATGTCAGCCATTGGCAGCTCATGCGTGACACCTGCCGCTTGCTCAGGCCCTTTGAGGAGGCCACGCTATTCGTGAGTCGGCAGGACTATGGGATGAACGACGTCATTCCTCTGTTGCACGTCCTGGAACAAATGCTGTTAACAATGGCTGGTCAGGGTGCGGTAGACGTGGCGCACAGATCTCAACGCCACATGACCCCTGTGGGGGCAGGACAGGAAGAAGAAGAGGAGGAGGTAGAGGAGGACATTGGTGCTCAGGAATTATTGAGTGAAATGGGTGGTTTTTCCACTCAGCGGACAGGAGTGGAGGAGCAGGAGCATCTGGTAGAGAGGAGGAGGAGGAGACAGAGGACCCAGACGCACCGTGGCAGTATGCTGTGGAGATGGAGGCAGGGAGTCCCTCGCATTCCTTGGCACAAATGGCCCATAGCATGCTCGGTTGCTTGCGTAGCGACAGCCGAATAATAACCATCAGACAGAGGGATGACTTTTGGCTGTCCACCTTGTTTGGACCCTCGCTACCGTTCAAAAATGGTGGCCTTTTTCACACCTGCTGAGAGGGGAGGCCAAAATAACGTACTATAAAAACCCTATGTAGTCAGTTGGTCTCTGCCTTTCTGCGCCAACGTCCATCCTCAGACACTGTGGGCCCTGTGCGCTCGCGTTCCGCTGCCATGGCAGCAGGGGAGGGGTGGGGGTGGTAGGAGCAGTGGCAGCTCCAGCTCAGCAGCAGCGGCTGCCTCAGTCTGCAGTCGATGATGAGTAGCTTTCTTCACCAGCGCAGTGAGGAAACTACTAACCAGCCGCAGCAGCAGCAGCATCAGGTGGACCTGGAGCAGGACCTCAAACAACAGGCTTGGGCCTACTTGGACAGCACCCTGCCAACCGAGGTAGACAATCCCCTTGACTACTGGGCAACGAAACTTGACCTTTGGCCCCAACTAGCTGAATTTGCCCTTGAAAGGCTGTCATGCCCGGCCAGTAGCGTGGCATCGGAGCGCGTGTTTAGTGCGGCAGGAGGTATTGTAACTCCGCGGAGGACACGACTGTCCACCCAAAGTGTGGAGAGACTCACGTTTGTGAAAATGAATCAGGCGTGGATTAGTCTGGATTTCAAAAACCACCAGTTCCTGACACAACTGACTAAATCCGCCATGAATCATGCCCCAAACATGTTATTATTTTTAACATATAGGCCTCTGTATGGCCTTCAATTTAAGCTGCTTACGCTTTGCGCTGCCACTCTGCCATGGGCCCCTGTACCGCCTCCTCTTGCTGCTGCCAGGTCCAGAGTGTCTCATGGGTCCCTGTACGGCCTCCCATTGCTGCTGTCTCCATCGCCACACTCTGCCATGTGCCACTTTCAGGTCTCCTCACACTGCTGGTGGGTTCCATTTTGTCATAGGGTGCTGGCAGATTACGGGCCTCCCATTGCTGCTGCCAGGCCCGTAATCTGCCATGGGCCCCTGTGTACCGCCTCTCATGCTGCTGCCAGGTCCAGAGTGTCTCATGGGTCCCTGTACGGCCTCCCATTGCTGCTGTCTCCATCGCCACACTCTGCCATGTGCCACTTTCAGGTCTCCTCACACTGCTGGTGGGTTCCATTTTGTCATAGGGTGCTGGCAGATTACGGGCCTCCCATTGCTGCTGCCAGGCCCGTAATCTGCCATGGGCCCCCGTACCTCCTCATGCTCCTGCTGCTGCATGGGTCCCTGGTCCATGCTGCTGCCAGGCCCGTGTCTCATGGGTCCCTGTACGGCCTCCCATTGCTGCTGTCTCCATCGCCACACTCTGCCATGTGCCACTTTCAGGTCTCCTCCACTGCTGGTGGGTTCCATTTTGTCATAGGGTGTGGCAGATTACGGGCCTCCCATTGCTGCTGCCAGGCCCGTAATCTGCCATGGGCCCCCGTACCACTCCTCATGCTGCTGCCAGGCCCGTAATCTGTCATGGGCCCCTGTACCGCCTCCTCATGCTGCTGCCAGGTCCAGAGTGTGTCATGGGTCCCTGTACGGCCTCCCATTGCTGCTGTCTCCAGGCCCGTAATCTGCCATGGGCCCCGTTTCCGGTCTCCTCATGCTGCTGCCAGGCCCGTAATCTGTCATTGGGCCCTCCCATTGCTGCTGCCAGGCCCGTAATCTGCCTACCGCCTCCTCATGCTGCTGCCAGGTCCCAGAGTCTCTCATGGGTCCCTGTACGGCCTCCCATTGCTGCTGTCTCCATCGCCACACTCTGCCATGTGCCACTTTCAGGTCTCCTCACACTGCTGGTGGGTTCCATTTTGTCATAGGGTGCTGGCAGATTACGGGCCTCCCATTGCTGCTGCCAGGCCCCTGCCATGGGGCCCCCGTACCGACTCCTCATGCTGCTGCCAGGCCCGTAATCTGTCATGGGCCCCTGTACCGCCTCCTCATGCTGCTGCCAGGTCCCAGAGTGTCTCATGGGTCCCTGTACGGCCTCCCATTGCTGCTGTCTCCATCGCCACACTCTGCCATGTGCCACTTTCAGGTCTCCTCACACTGCTGGTGGGTTCCATTTTTTTTGTCATAGGGGTGCTGGCAGATTACGGGCCTCCCATTGCTGCTGCCAGGCCTAATCTGCCATGGGCCCCTGTACCGCCTCCTCATGCTGCTGCCAGGTCCAGAGTGTGTCATGGGTCCCTGTACGGCCTCCCATTGCTGCTGTCCATCGCCACACTCTGCCATGTGCCACTTTCAGGTCTCCTCACACTGCTGGTGGGTTCATTTTTGTCATAGGGTGCTGGCAGATTACGGGCCTCCCATTGCTGCTGCCAGGCCCGTAATCTGCCATGGGCCCCCGTACCGACCTCCTCATGCTGCTGCCAGGCCCGTAATCTGTCATGGGCCCCTGTACCGCCTCCTCATGCTGCTGCCAGGTCCAGAGTGTCTCATGGGTCCCTGTACGGCCTCCCATTGCTGCTGTCTCCATCGCCACACTCTGCCATGTGCCACTTTCAGGTCTCCTCACACTGCTGGTGGGTTCCATTTTGTCATAGGGTGCTGGCAGATTACGGGCCTCCCATTGCTGCTGCCAGGCCCGTAATCTGCCATGGGGCCCCCGTACCGACTCCTCATGCTGCTGCCAGGCCCGTAATCTGTCATGGGCCCCTGTACCGCTCCTCATGCTGCTGCCTGCCAGGTCCAGAGTGTCTCATGGGTCCCTGTACGGCCTCCCATTGCTGCTGTCTCCATCGCCACACTCTGCCATGTGCCACTTTCAGGTCTCCTCACACTGCTGGTGGGTTCCATTTTGTCATAGGGTGCTGGCAGATTACGGGCCTCCCATTGCTGCTGCCAGGCCCGTAATCTGCCATGGCCCCCGTACCGACCCCTCATGCTGCTGCCAGGCCCGTAATCTGTCATGGGCCCCTGTACCGCCTCCTCATGCTGCTGCCAGGTCCAGAGTGTGTCATGGGTCCCTGTACGGCCTCCCATTGCTGCTGTCTCCATCGCCACACTCTGCCATGTGCCACTTTCAGGTCTCCTCACACTGCTGGTGGGTTCCATTTTGTCATAGGGTGCTGGCAGATTACGGGCCTCCCATTGCTGCTGCCAGGCCCGTAATCTGCCATGGGCCCCCGTACCGACTCCTCATGCTGCTGCCAGGCCCGTAATCTGTCATGGGCCCCTGTACCGCCTCCTCATGCTGCTGCCAGGTCCAGAGTGTGTCATGGGTCCCTGTACGGCCTCCCATTGCTGCTGTCTCCATCGCCACACTCTGCCATGTGCCACTTTCAGGTCTCCTCACACTGCTGGTGGGTTCCATTTTGTCATAGGGTGCTGGCAGATTACGGGCCTCCCATTGCTGCTGCCAGGCCCGTAATCTGCCATGGGCCCCCGTACCGCCTCCTCATGCTGCTGCCAGGTCCAGAGTGTCTCATGGGTCCCTGTACGGCCTCCCATTGCTGCTGTCTCCATCGTCCCACACTCTGCCATGTGCCACACTTTCAGGTCTCCAGGTCTCCTCACACTGCTGGTGGGTTCCATTTTGTCATAGGGTGCTGGCAGATTACGGGCCTCCCATTGCTGCTGCCAGGCCCGTAATCTGCCATGGGCCCCCGTACCGTACCGACTCCTCATGCTGCTGCCAGGCCCGTCATCTGTCATGGGCCCCTGCTGCCATTGGCCGTAATCTGTCATGGGCCCCTGTACCGCCTCCTCATGCTGCTGCCAGGTCCAGAGTGTGTCATGGGTCCCTGTACGGCCTCCCATTGCTGCTGTCTCCATCGCCACACTCTGCCATGTGCCACTTTCAGGTCTCCTCACACTGCTGGTGGGTTCCATTTTGTCATAGGGTGCTGGCAGATTACGGGCCTCCCATTGCTGCTGCCAGGCCCGTAATCTGCCATGGGCCCCGTACCGACTCCTCATGCTGCTGCCAGGGCCCGTAATCTGTCATGGGCCCCTGTACCGCCTCCTCATGCTGCTGCCAGGTCCAGAGTGTGTCATGGGTCCCTGTACGGCCTCCCATTGCTGCTGTCTCCATCGCCACACTCTGCCATGTGCCACTTTCAGGTCTCCTCACACTGCTGGTGGGTTCCATTTTGTCATAGGGTGCTGGCAGATTACGGGCCTCCCATTGCTGCTGCCAGGCCCGTAATCTGCCATGGGCCCCCGTACCGACTCCTCATGCTGCTGCCAGGCCCGTAATCTGTCATGGGCCCCTGTACCGCCTCCTCATGCTGCTGCCAGGTCCAGAGTGTGTCATGGGTCCCTGTACGGCCTCCCATTGCTGCTGTCTCCATCGCCACACTCTGCCATGTGCCACTTTCAGGTCTCCTCACACTGCTGGTGGGTTCCATTTTTTGTCATAGGGTGCTGGCAGATTACGGGCCTCCCATTGCTGCTGCCAGGCCCGTAATCTGCCATGGGCCCCCGTACCGACTCTCATGCTGCTGCCAGGCCCGTAATCTGTCATGGGCCCCTGTACCGCCTCCTCATGCTGCTGCCAGGTCCAGAGTGTGTCATGGGTCCCTGTACGGCCTCCCATTGCTGCTGTCTCCATCGCCACACTCTGCCATGTGCCACTTTCAGGTCTCCTCACACTGCTGGTGGGTTCCATTTTGTCATAGGGTGCTGGCAGAACGGCTCCTCCCATTGCTGCTGCCAGGCCCGTAATCTGCCATGGGCCCCCGTACCGACTCCTCATGCTGCTGCCAGGCCCGTAATCTGTCATGGGCCCCTGTGCCTATGCCTCCCATGCTGCTGCTGCCCAGGTCCAGAGTGTGTCATGGGTCCCTGTACGGCCTCCCATTGCTGCTGTCTCCATCGCCACACTCTGCCATGTGCCACTTTCAGGTCTCCTCACACTGCTGGTGGGTTCCATTTTGTCATAGGGTGCTGGCAGATTACGGGCCTCCCATTGCTGCTGCCAGGCCCGTAATCTGCCATGGGCCCCCGTACCGACTCCTCATGCTGCTGCCAGGCCCGTAATCTGTCATGGGCCCCTGTACCGCCTCCTCATGCTGCTGCCAGGTCCAGTGTGTCATGGTGTCCCTGTACGGGCCTCCCATTGCTGCTGTCTCCATCGCCACACTCTGCCATGTGCCACTTTCAGGTCTCCTCACACTGCTGGTGGGTTCCATTTTTTGTCATAGGGTGCTGGCAGATTACGGGCCTCCCATTGCTGCTGCCAGGCCCGTAATCTGCCATGGGCCCCCGTACCGCCTCCTCATGCTGCTGCCAGGCCCGTAATCTGTCATGGGCCCCTGTACCGCCTCCTCATGCTGCTGCTGCCAGGTCCAGAGTGTCTCATGGGTCCCTGTACGGCCTCCCATTGCTGCTGCTGTCTCCATCGCCACACTCTGCCATGTGCCACTTTCAGGTCTCCTCACACACACTGCTGGTGGGTTCCATTTTGTCATAGGGTGCTGGCAGATTACGGGCCTCCCATTGCTGCTGCCAGGCCCGTAATCTGCCATGGGCCCCCGTACCGACTCCTCATGCTGCTGCCAGGCCCGTAATCTGTCATGGGCCCCTGTACCGCCTCCTCATGCTGCTGCCAGGTCCAGAGTGTGTGTCATGGGTCCCTGTACGGCCTCCCATTGCTGCTGTCTCCATCGCCACACTCTGCCATGTGCCACTTTCAGGTCCTCCTCACACTGCTGGTGGGTTCCATTTTGTCATAGGGTGCTGGCAGATTACGGGCCTCCCATTGCTGCTGCCAGGCCCGTAATCTGCCATGGGCCCCCGTACCGACTCCTCATGCTGCTGCCAGGCCCGTAATCTGTCATGGGCCCCTGTACCGCCTCCTCATGCTGCTGCCAGGTCCAGAGTGTGTCATGGGTCCCTGTACGGCCTCCCATTGCTGCTGTCTCTCCATCGCCACACTCTGCCATGTGCCACTTTCAGGTCTCCTCACACTGCTGGTGGGTTCCATTTTGTCATAGGGTGCTGGCAGATTACGGGCCTCCCATTGCTGCTGCCACTCCTCATGGCCCAGGTAATCTGCCATGGGCCCCTGTACCGCCTCCTCATGCTGCTGCCAGGTCCAGAGTGTCTCATGGGTCCCTGTACGGCCTCCCATTGCTGCTGTCTCCATCGCCACACTCTGCCATGTGCCACTTTCAGGTCTCCTCACACTGCTGGTGGGTTCCATTTTGTCATAGGGTGCTGGCAGATTACGGGCCTCCCATTGCTGCTGCCAGGCCCGTAATCTGCCATGGGCCCCCGTACCCTCCTCATGCTGCTGCCAGGCCCGTAATCTGTCATGGGCCCCTGTACCGCTCCTCATGCTGCTGCCAGGTCCAGAGTGTCTCATGGGTCCCCTGTACGGCCTCCATTGCTGCTGTCTCCATCGCCACACTCTGCCATGTGCCACTTTCAGGTCCTCCTCACACTGCTGGTGGGTTCCATTTTGTCATAGGGTGCTGGCAGATTACGGGCCTCCCATTGCTGCTGCCAGGCCCGTAATCTGCCATGGGCCCCCGTACCGACTCCTCATGCTGCTGCCAGGCCCGTAATCTGTCATGGGCCCCTGTACCGCCTCCTCATGCTGCTGCCAGGTCCAGAGTGTGTCATGGGTCCCTGTACGGCCTCCCATTGCTGCTGTCTCCATCGCCACCACACTCTCTGCCATGTGCCACTTTCAGGTCTCCTCACACTGCTGGTGGGTTCCATTTTGTCATAGGGTGCTGGCAGATTACGGGCCTCCCATTGCTGCTGCCAGGCCCGTAATCTGCCATGGCCCCCGTACCGACTCCTCATGCTGCTGCCAGGCCCGTAATCTGTCATGGGCCCCTGTACCGCCTCCTCCTCATGCTGCTGCCAGGTCCAGAGTGTCTCATGGGTCCCTGTACGGCCTCCCATTGCTGCTGTCTCCATCGCCACACTCTGCCATGTGCCACTTTCAGGTCTCCTCACACTGCTGGTGGGTTCCATTTTGTCATAGGGTGCTGGCAGATTACGGGCCTCCCATTGCTGCTGCCAGGCCCGTAATCTGCCATGGGCCCCCGTACCGACTCCTCATGCTGCTGCCAGGTCCAGAGTAATCTGTCATGGGCCCCTGTACGCCTCCTCATGCTGCTGCACTTTCAGGTCCAGAGTGTCTGCCATGTGTCCCTGTTCAGGTCTCCTCCCATTGCTGCTGCAGGCCAGGCCCGTCCATTTTGCCATAGGGCCCCTGGCAGATTACGGGCCTCCCATTGCTGCTGCCAGGCCCGTAATCTGCCATGGGCCCCTGTACCCGCCTCCTCATGCTGCTGCCAGGTCCAGAGTGTGTCATGGGTCCCTGTACGGCCTCCCATTGCTGCTGTCTCCATCGCCACACTCTGCCATGTGCCACTTTCAGGTCTCCTCACACTGCTGGTGGGTTCCATTTTGTCATAGGGTGCTGGCAGATTACGGGCCTCCCATTGCTGCTGCCAGGCCCGTAATCTGCCATGGGCCCCCGTACCGCCTCCTCATGCTGCTGCCAGGCCCCGTAATCTGTGTCATGGGCCCCTGTATGGGTCCCTGTACGGCCTCCCATTGCTGCTGTCTCCATCGCCCACACTCTGCCATGTGCCACTTTCAGGTCTCCTCACACTGCTGGTGGGTTCCATTTTGTCATAGGGTGCTGGCCCTGTACGGGCCTCCCATTGCTGCTGCCTGTAATCTGCCATGGGCCCCCGTAACTCTCATGCTGCTGCCCACGTAATCTGTCATGGGCCCCTGTACCGCCCTCCTGCTGCTGTGCTGCTGCCTGGTCCAGAGTCTCTCATGGAGGGTCCCATACGGCCTCCCATTGCTGCTACTCCATCGCCACACTCCCATGTGCTGCACTTGCCTCTCCTCACACTGCTGGTGGGTTCCATTTTGCCATAGGGGCTGGCAGATTACGGGCCTCCCATTGCTGCTGCCAGGCCCGTAATCTGTCATGGGCCCCTGTACCGCCTCCTCATGCTGCTGCCAGGTCCAGAGTGTCTCATGGGTCCCTGTACGGCCTCCCATTGCTGCTGTCTCCATCGCCACACTCTGCCATGTGCCACTTTCAGGTCTCCCACACACTGCTGGTGGGTTCCATTTTTGTCATAGGGTGCTGGCAGATTACGGGCCTCCCATTGCTGCTGCCAGGCCCGTAATCTGCCATGGGCCCCCCGTACCGACTCCTCATGCTGCTGCCAGGCCCGTAATCTGTCATGGGCCCCTGTACCGCCTCCTCATGCTGCTGCCAGGTCCAGAGTGTGTCATGGGTCCCTGTACGGCCTCCCATTGCTGCTGTCTCATCGCCCACACTCTGCCATGTGCCACTTTCAGGTCTCCTCACACTGCTGGTGGGCCATTTTTTTGTCATAGGGTGCTGGCAGATTACGGGCCTCCCATGCTGCTGCTGCTGCCAGGCCCGTAATCTGCCATGGGCCCCCATGGGCCCTACCGACTCCTCATGCTGCTGCCAGGCCCGTAATCTGTCATGGGCCCCTGTACCGCCTCCTCATGCTGCTGCCAGGTCCAGAGTGTCTCATGGGTCCCTGTACGGCCTCCCATTGCTGCTGTCTCCATCGCCACACTCTGCCATGTGCCACTTTCAGGTCTCCTCACACTGCTGGTGGGTTCCATTTTGTCATAGGGTGCTGGCAGATTACGGGCCTCCCATTGCTGCTGCCAGGCCCGTAATCTGCCATGGGCCCCCGTACCGACGACTCCTCATGCTGCTGCCAGGCCCGTAATCTGTCATGGGCCCCTGTACCACGCCTCCTCATGCTGCTGCCAGGTCCAGAGTGTGTCATGGGTCCCTGTACGGCCTCCCATTGCTGCTGTCTCCATCGCCACACTCTGCCATGTGCCACTTTCAGGTCTCCTCACACTGCTGGTGGGTTCCATTTTGTCATAGGGTGCTGGCAGATTACGGGCCTCCCATTGCTGCTGCCAGGCCCGTAATCTGCCATGGGCCCCCGTACCGACTCCTCATGCTGCTGCTGCCAGGCCCGTAATCTGTCATGGGCCCCTGTACCGCCTCCTCATGCTGCTGCCAGGTCCAGAGTGTGTCATGGGTCCCTGTACGGCCTCCCATTGCTGCTGTCTCCATCGCCACACTCTGCCATGTGCCACTTTCAGGTCTCCTCCTCACACTGCTGGTGGGTTCCATTTTGTCATAGGGTGCTGGCAGATTACGGGCCTCCCATTGCTGCTGCCAGGCCCGTAATCTGCCATGGGCCCCCGTACCGACTCCTCATGCTGCTGCCAGGCCCGTAATCTGTCATGGGCCCCTGTACCGCCTCCTCATGCTGCTGCCAGGTCCAGAGTGTGTCATGGGTCCCTGTACGGCCTCCCATTGCTGCTGTCTCCATCGCCACACACTGCCATGTGCCACTTTCAGGTCTCCTCACACTGCTGGTGGGTTCCATTTTGTCATAGGGTGCTGGCAGATTACGGGCCTCCCATTGCTGCTGCCAGGCCCGTAATCTGCCATGGGCCCCCCGTACCGACTCCTCATGCTGCTGCCAGGTCCAGGCCCATAATCTGTCATGGGCCCCCTGTACCGTCCTCCTCATTGCTGCTGCCAGGTCCACACTGCTGTGTCATGTGCCCCTTTCAGGTCCTCCCATACACTGCTGCTGCTGCCAGGCCGTAATCTGCCATGGGCCTGGCAGATTACGGGACTCCTCATTGCTGCTGCCAGGCCCGTAATCTCTGCCATGGGCCCCTGTACGTACCGCCCTCCTCATGCTGCTGCCAGGTCCAGAGTGTGTCATGGGTCCCTGTACGGCCTCCCATTGCTGCTGTCTCCATCGCCACACTCTGCCATGTGCCACTTTCAGGTCTCCTCACACTGCTGGTGGGTTCCATTTTGTCATAGGGTGCTGGCAGATTACGGGCCTCCCATTGCTGCTGCCAGGCCCTCCCATGGGCCCCCCGTACCGCTCCTCATGCTGCCAGGCCCGTAATCTGCCATGGGCCCCTGTACCGCCTCCTCATGCTGCTGCCAGGTCCAGAGTGTGTCATGGGTCCCTGTACGGCCTCCCATTGCTGCTGTCTCCATCGCCACACTCTGCCATGTGCCACTTTCAGGTCTCCTCACACTGCTGGTGGTGGGTTCCATTTTGTCATAGGGTGCTGGCAGATTACGGGCCTCCCATTGCTGCTGCCAGGCCCGTAATCTGCCATGGGCCCCCGTACCGACTCCTCATGCTGCTGCCAGGCCCGTAATCTGTCATGGGCCCCTGTACCGCCCGCCCTCATGCTGCTGCCAGGTCCAGAGTGTGTCATGGGTCCCTGTACGGCCTCCCATTGCTGCTGTCTCCATCGCCACACTCTGCTGCCATGTGCCACTTTCAGGTCTCCTCACACTGCTGGTGGGTTCCATTTTGTCATAGGGTGCTGGCAGATTACGGGCCTCCCATTGCTGCTGCCAGCCAGGCCCGTAATCTGCCATGGGCCCCCGTACCGACTCCTCATGCTGCTGCCAGGCCCGTAATCTGTCATGGGCCCCTGTACCGCCTCCTCATCATGCTGCTGCCAGGTCCAGAGTGTGTCATGGGTCCCTGTACGGCCTCCCATTGCTGCTGTCTCCATCGCCACACTCTGCCATGTGCCACTTTCAGGTCTCCTCACACTGCTGGTGGGTTCCATTTGTCATAGGGTGCTGGCAGATTACGGGCCTCCCCATTGCTGCTGCCAGGCCCGTAATCTGCCATGGGCCCCCGTACCGACTCCTCATGCTGCTGCCAGGCCCGTAATCTGTCATGGGCCCCTGTACCGCCTCCTCATGCTGCTGCTGCCAGGTCCAGAGTGTCTCATGGGTCCCTGTACGGCCTCCCATTGCTGCTGTCTCCATCGCCACACTCTGCCATGTGCCACTTTCAGGTCTCCTCACACTGCTGGTGGGTTCCATTTTGTCATAGGGTGCTGGCAGATTACGGGCCTCCCATTGCTGCTGCCAGGCCCGTAATCTGCCATGGGCCCCCCCGTACCGACTCCTCATGCTGCTGCCAGGCCCGTAATCTGTCATGGGCCCCTGTACCGCCTCCTCCTCATGCTGCTGCCAGGTCCAGAGTGTGTCATGGGTCCCTGTACGGCCTCCCATTGCTGCTGTCTCCATCGCCACACACACTCTGCCATGTGCCACTTTCAGGTCTCCTCACACTGCTGGTGGGTTCCATTTTGTCATAGGGTGCTGGCAGATTA